TGCTTTTGTATATGAGTTTGGTGGCTTTGCCGACATCAAATGGCACTGGTACCCAACAGGGTGCCTCCATTTCATCACATGGAGTTCATGTTTCATTCTGCATTAGTCTTTCATTGCAGCAGAACTTTGACTTCCCAATTATTTACAAAACCCTTCTATTGATACTAATTTTTGTATGGACAGTAGATAGAAAAATCATAGATGTAAGTATTCAGCCAGTATTTTTTGTTCCGCTTCCAAGAATGTCTTGTGGGCTGTTTGCAGGAGGAGGGGGAGTTTGCTTGTTTGCTTGTTTTGTTTTTAGTGAGGCTGTGGGGAAAAAACGCTTTTTTTTTTTTAACACTGAAGGAAAATTCAGGAGGTAAACCTTTCACTGGTGTGCCAGGTGCCCGGATGAAATGTAGGTCAGCAGAACTATATATTAACTTCTATGCAAATTTGCAAATAAATGGTTTTTGGTGATGGATGAATCCTTAAATGCTGGATGACTATGAGATTTCCCTATCTGCATCATAAACTGACTTTTTTTAAAAAAAATGTCCTTTGTGCTTCACTTGTTCAAAGCAGTCTTTAAAAAGTAAAGAGGAAAATAGTATTTGCTACAGTCAGCAGATGGTTGTCACATTTTGTTTTCAGTGCTCTTTACCACTTAATTTTGTTTTGTTGCGACAGGAGAGGTTGCCAGTAAAGCATCTGCTAGAGCTTATGGCTCAGGACCGGAGCTGCTGCTGATGGCATACATTCAGAAGAGCACTAATCTAAAATAAATGTTTAATAAGCAGCCCGTGAAAGCACCTGGAATTTTATTTTTTTTTAAATTCAGTTGATGCAGAAGAATCTCAAATATTTATAAAAAAAAAAAGAGGACGTAGCTTTGATTTATAAAATGTATGTGGCTTCACATATTAAAAAAAATGCAGAGTTTTAAAAAAATCTTCTTTCCTGAATTCCAGCTCATCAAGGTGCTGTACAAGACCAGCCTTACCAGCTGCCAGTGGAAATCGATCCTCTCATAGGTCTGTCACTTCCTTCTCTCTTTGCGATTCATTAAGCTCTGTATGGTGGCCCTGAAGTGTAGATTACGGTTGTTTTTCACTTGCTGGTTGCTGGGAATGGAATTTTCCTGATAAACCATTTGCATGCAAATTGGAATGCAATGAGCTGTGGCTATGCTGGTATTTCATCAACTCCCCCTCGTTGGTTTGCCTAATTTGAACAGGCCTAGGACGCGTGTCAGTGAAAATTAATATGGATGCTGTAATAATGTGTGATTGAGAATGTGCATGAAGTACTGTCAGGATAATATTGGATCTTTTCATCACTCAGACTTGTTGATGAGCAGGAGCGAGGCACGTTATGATGAATTGGTGCTCTGGTAATGTGATGGAGCTCCTTTGCAGAGGAAATTTTCATAATAACAGTGGGGTTCTTAACTGCACCGTGTTGTGAAAAATAAAACCATGGTGCCAGGGTTTCATCATTAAAGGAGATCAATCCTTTCTTCATGGACCTGCTGTTCAGGCTGAGGGGATTAATGTGTAATTGCAAAGCGGTTTCAAAGTTGAAATATATCACCCACTCTGTTTTAGTATTGAGATATTAGTATTCATTTTTCAAGGGTATTGCATCTTCTGATCAGCATCACTAGTTAAATTTGTCTGTTTTTCTTTTATTAAAAAGGGGCGGAGGAATGTCTCCGTGTAATAGATTCAATTCATGACTTTTTATTATGGAGGTTTATTAGTTTATATAGAGCTGATTTTTCTATTAGTATGGTTAGAGTTTGGTCTTTTCTTTCATTATAGACCCAATTTTGGGGTGTGTATATTTGGACCGTAATTTAGGGGCCTGTAGCATGGTAAACAGAACTTTAAAAGTGATCAAAAAAGAAAGACTCAGACCACCTAACCCCAAAATGCCAACTAGTTGTAGGACAGTTCACAGGAGCAAAGAAGACCAGGTTCCCCCACTCCCCCCTCAATTATTCTGTTAGAGTTCCAACTTAGCTCAGGTTTTTAAACTGTCCATTTCGGGATGGTAGTTTAAGTGAAGAAGAAGTGAAGCGGCCAATTACAGAAGCATGGAAAGATGAGATCAAAAAAGAACTTGCCCGGACACGTTAGATTGACAGGTCTGTCAGCCAGCAGGCGTGAATTTCAAAACAAATACGCGTGTCGCAGTCGGAACGGCCTTGTGTCGGTCTGTGGGTGCAGGCTGTTGCTGGGTAGCCATTTTGCTGGGTGAGCTCTGTGATAATTAGATCAGGAACAGTGTGGGCATGTTAAACCGTTTCATAGGGCTGATAAAATCAAAATGTTTTTCCAAAGTTTTTAAAATCAATTCCCATCTGAACAATGCAATACTTATAATTTATAGTGAGGAGGACGTGCTCTAACTCAACTTTACTTCCTGAAATAGGTTTTGTCCAAAAAATATTTGGAGCAGAAAATGTATATTCTGCTTTAAAACCTGCTATTGTGTAGATCTTAAAAATATAAATAAACATCACAGAAAAAAAAAAAACAAACAACAAAACCAAACAAAACACAAAATCACATTGGGTCTGTCTGATGATTTTTCTACGTATTATGAAGCACAATAAGAAGGAAATAAAATTTTTATTTTTGTTTGCATTTTTCACAATTTTAAAATTGTAAATCCATTTTCAGGCTTGTCTTTAATTTATAAAATACTTAGACTTTAGTTTGGTATAAACACCTTTAAAATTAATGTTCATAGTTCTGAAAAATGGTTTAATTCTCTTTATACAATAGATCTCAAATCAGCCTTGTGATTACATTGGACATAGTTTAAGAGGTTTGAGGGTTTCTTTGTCACTGTTAAGTAGCATCATTGGGTACAAGCAAGTAATTATGTAGATAATATTAAAGGTTTTTAATTGTGGCTAGACGCATTTACCTAGAAATGGCACCTAAGAGGACCACAAAATTACGCTTTTATGGTTATAGCAGGAATCTTGTTGCTGTCTTAGTCGTTTTTTTTTTTCCTGCTGTCCTCATTTTCCGGTTGCACAGGAAGGTGTAAAACAGCGATGTCTGATATGACGTAGATCCTAGACCTCTTTTTCAGGTGAAGTTTTTTGAAGGTCTTACCCACACTGAATGTGTCTGTCTTCATGGTTTCTGGGGGGCTTATTTGCCATTATTTTGTCTTACAGAATGCTTCACTGTGCATTTATAATGTGTTGCTGTTACTCTTTTAAGTGGTCCCAGCAGCGGTCAAGGCCCTGTTACATGTTTCCTGCAGAGCAAATGACAGTACCTTGCTAAATTATTTGCTACCCATGTGGACAAGGCAGTATCAACATTTTAAACATAGTGAAAGCACGAATAAAGACTTGGTATAGAGTAAATGGAATAAGCCCGAGGCTTAGAGGATAGCTACACTGTGAGAATGGAAGGAAGTTAAAGAACAAAGAGTAAAGAAGAGCACAAGACCAGGACAGAGACAGGTCTGAGGGACCACCTGGAATGGAGCAATGGTGCTCTAAGCAGTCAGCAGATAAACCCAGGCCCAGGAGAACTTGCCTGGGATGGGAGTCAGGTTCCCTTGGGAACAGACAACATTAAAAGTTCTTCCTACAGTGTAGGATTTTCATGATATATATCTATAGGGACCCTTATATATATATATATGCACATATATCAATAAGGACAAAATATAGTATGAAAAATGTCTTCATTAATTGATTCCTGCCCATTCTGTGGGTTCACAATGCAAGATTATCTGGGGAAATGAAACAGCAAGTGATCAAAGTAGGGTAAATATTTGCCCTCAGTCCTAAAGGAGATTGTGGAGATAAGCTGATTAATTTTTGTGCAATGCTCAAAAAAGTATGAAATGGTAGTGATGTTTACTGCAGTTATTCTTTTTTTAAATTACAATGCTTGCAATGAAATACAACTTGTGTACAATTCTGAAATCATAATTCTGTTATCTGCTGCATTTCAGCCATTATATAGCATATATATATGTGTGTGCTGTCTTATAATTACATTCCCTTCATTTGTTTCTTAAGTTTTTAATTTCCTATACTAGAGGAAGGGGGAAGGAAGCTTATTACATTTTTATGTACCATTCCTTTTGCAATCTTTCATTTATATTTGTCAGCTGCATTTGACTTAAAGAAGACATTTCTTCTGTTTTAGAATATATACTGCAAGGAATTAGCATTGTTCCCAGAAGTGTAATGAGTATTTTATAGTAAAAGTAGAAGGAAAATGTCCCTGCCACAAAAAGCAAGTAACAGCATTGAGGAATAGTTTTGTTGTGAACGTGAGTTTCAAAAATGTGCTTTTGTTCTGTGAATATACGTGCTAAAACTTCTCCATTTGTGTGTCTTTGTGTCCAGCCAGCAATACGGGTATGCACAGAAGGCAAATCACTGACCTTTTAGACCAAAGCATTCAGGTACATTCCCAGTGTTTTGTCATCACCTCTGATAATCGTTACATCTTGGTCTGTGGCTTCTGGGACAAGAGTTTCCGAGTTTATTCTACCGACTCAGGTAATGTATTTTTAAAATATGAGAACAGCCTAGAAGATTTTTCTGTTCATTGCCAACCTACATTTCCAAATAAAGAGAGAATGGGGGGCGGGGAGAGAAAGTGGAGTATGTATTTAGTCCTCTATTAATAAGATTTGTCAAATCTTTTCTTACCTACTGCTACTATGTATTGTATGCCATAATTTTTGTGGAATGATGCTAAATGTAAGACAAGGAGCTCTTGTTCAGCCAAGGCATCACACTCCAAATCTATATGACAGGCATGCCTGTTCTTACACTGTAGTTTCCACAAGTAAATGAGTTTTTGTCAAGCTTTGCATACCAGGAGAATTAATTGTTCTTAGAGCGCTTACTTGAATTAAACTCTGGTTAGTTTTCAGCACCAGAGAGGGTTTTTTTAGGAAATGCAGGCAATCACCATAGAATAAGAACAGAAGTAAAGTCTTGAAATCTGGTGAAAGGATACTTATGAAAGCCTTTGAAAGCTATGCTGTAATAGAAAAATTGATTTGGAGCCACTGAATTCTTTCACGATTCTATATAACATAAACTGATCGATATAATGGGCTGCAGTTAAATTAGTCTGTCAGCTGGCATGTATCCAAACCATTGAAGTCATGCATGTGTCATGCTAAATAGAAAAGAATCTTTCAGTGTTAAGAGCTACAGGAATTTAAAAGCCGTGGAGCCCCAGAAAAAAATAGATATGATTTTTTCCCTTTCATTATCTTATAATGGGAATAGCGACCTTACTGCAAGGTACTTCTTTGGGATTAATGACCCAGTGTGGTTAATGTGTGTGTGCCATCAAGCTTTCCAGTAGGTTATTAATCCCTAAGGAATATCCTACATGTTTGTCATCATTTCTTAAATATATTCGTTAGTAGTGTTTTTCGCACTTGGAAACCAAAATAATAAACAAAACCCGATGGCCTTTAATGAAAATCTGTTAAGACTAGATCTCGTGGCATATTTTAGCATATCTGTCATTTTTGCAATTTTAAAGCCTTAAGTATGAAGGAGAAGTTCCATTTGCTTCATATTGACTGCCTACAATTCATTATACAGACATCTTGTTAGGCCCTTCTTAGTTTAATTTTCTCATTGATGAAAATAAATTTACATAAACCTGTGAGTTGAAAGGAGATCTTCAGAAAAGTTAGCTAGCAGTAATAAATATTCAGTGTATATTCTTGATTTGCATGAATAGAGAACTAATTTTTTTATGTCAAAGAATATATTTTACTTAACACCTATGGAAGGAACTTACATGATTTTAGTAGCTTTGTCCTGTATGGATCTGAACTACAAATATCTCATTATGTCCTCTGTGTGTAAGTCACATGCACCAGACATCCCATTCCTCCCATAGCTAATTATGCTATAAACCAAAATACAGTTGTCAAAAAAGTTGCAGAAGACTTGTGTCCTCTGCGTGTCTCCTATTTGTCAATATAGCTACTCTAGCTCTAGCCTAAATCAAGTGAATTCAGATGTCGTTTATTTTGCTTTGAATTAAAATGAGAATATAGTAGTGAAATACTCTGAAATCTGCAGAAAAACAAGGAAAAAAGAGGATGTGATCGGTAATGCATAATGGCAAGTGATCACAAGTGTTGAATTCAATTATGTTTTAGCACTTACACAAAGAGGAAACCTTTTTCCTATTGGATTTTGGGTTTGTTTCGGCTGTTTTAACAGGAAATACTTTTAACATAAATCATGGGTTCTCAGCACAGCTAGTATAGCAGAAGCACAATAAAACCTTCCTCCAGCACTGGGAATGATTTCTAGACAGCTCTTTAGATTCAGTAGTGCAGAGACTTGACTCTTATTTTTCTTTTAATTATTTGTAGCACAGCTGTCGAATAAAACATTAACTAGAAAATTTGTTCTGTCAAAAAGGGATAGCTGAGTGCATATGGTGAAGTTTGATATTACTGTATAGAGAGGACAGCTCATACTAAGGGAAACAAAAAAAAAGTTGAACTTATATGAGATTAATGATTTTTTTTTTTTTTACTAATATGAAAGAGCAAAAGATTATTTCTTGTTTTGTTGGAATTGATTGAACCTTAGCTGCACAGTAACAAAGTAAAACTAGCAAGGCAGTGCAACTGCATGAACAACTGTCAAACAAGTAATTTGGAAAATGTTTGTTTTCTAGAACAGAACCTATAAACATAGAATATAATTGACAGAGAGATCTCTATAACTCGGCAATGTTCATAACATAAACTTGTGTTCTAAAAGTATAAATCACCTCAGGTAGTTGAGTACCTACGGCTCTACAGCTGAGAAATATATCACGTAATGGAATCATTCTCAAATCTAACCATGTAATTGACAACTTGACTCTTCAGGGAAAAACATACACTTGGTGAGATATTTTTGTGTATTTCCAAAATGAGGTTATGTAGCCTGTGAGTGTTCCACTGCTCCTGGTTGTGAAGTTCAGTAACTTTTTCTGACTAAATCTGTTGACTGGTCGGCATGTGAGACAGTGAGGTGACCCCGCGGCACAAAGGAAAGCCCTGGTGTGCAGAGGTGACAGCTGTGGAACACTCTTACAGGCACACAGAGATGAGTGAGTTACTCTCCCTTCCGATACAAGGTGGATGTGCACAGGAAGTGTACCTCCCAGCGTTTTGCCCCTTCCAGTCAGAAAAGGCTCATGTGATGGTACTTCATTTCACAATTTCTCTTGGAGGATTACCCTTGCCTAATCAGTGTTTTGTTTTAAATATGTTGTACAGGTTTCCTTTCAAATTACATCATGTTATTCAATTTTTTCTTCATGTACTAAAGTAATTCCCTTTTTTTTCTGGATATTCATACCATTCTCTTGTGGTTTTTTCAGGTTTTCTCCACTTTAATGCAGTGGAGATCTTTTTGAACTTCTATTATAAATCAGGCTGTTAACATTATTTTTGTACTTTCTTCAGAGTCACTCCCTGAAGTCTTTTGTTACAGTTAGTGTTATTTAGTGGCTGGATATGAATACAGTGCCTTTGTACTGCATAGGAAGAGGGTTACCAAGCATATCCTACTAGCCATAGTATAAGCTAATAATTTTTAATTCATGCACCAAAATATTTCATTAAGATGTGCTTAATTTGACTCCAAACGCTGATTTGTGTTACTACTTGTCATGTTACTAGTTACTATTTTTAAAGGCTTTTCAGAACATTTTAGTTCAGGTACAGTAGTTTGCATTTCCCATTTCTTTTTTGACCTGTGTTGTTAATCCTTTCAAAGCCTTTTCCCCTTCTGTTCTTCCCCATTCTTTATTCAGCCCGAAGCACAAATGGATGCGTGGTCATTTGGGCTGAGGAATCTGAGATCACACGTTAATGGCATCACACATCACACTGCCTTGTGTCATCGGATGCAGAATTTGGCCTGGCCCACATTACCTGAATGGGCCAAGTAGGCACAAAAGAAACGTATATATCTTTTTGCCCTGTCTCTGCAAGATCTCCAGTTGCTAGTCTTCAGCAAATCCAGTGAGATCTGCTGCTGGCAGATCCAGAAACCGGTGGGACATGTGACGTGTTTGCTGTGTCGGAGCCAGCCTGACAGGGTGGCCTGGCAGAGATCTGCTATGGGTGACTTTACATGCGTTTCCTCTCCCATGTGCAAATTCGCTATGCATAAGCATCCAAATTTACACTTTTCTAAAAATACTGTCCTGTGTAGTTAAGGGTAAAAGGTAGTAGTCATGTTCATGTTTATGCAGACTCTTGAATGACACATTTTTAACTGCCTAGGCTTTCCTTTCTTTTTAACGTTTATGTCTCTATCAGTGGTACAAGCCTTTGTCCTATATGATAAGTAAGAGTTTTTTCCAGGTCTGTCTTCTGAGATTTTTTGAACATTACAGAAATTCTTAAAAGGGAAGGATGCTGGTTGAAATAATTGGCAAGTGTTTAAATGGTGATGGAAAAACCTGGGTACAAGAGTAATTTTTCATCTAAATCTCCTTTTCTCTGTTGAAGGAGATGCTCGAAAGCTCCATATACTATATGCACATATATGCTCTCACACTACCAATTTCTTCTGGGTCCCAAAGATTCTGTAGCTTCTTCTGATTCTGTTTCCCACATCATCATCAGATCTGCATTTTTAGTGTTACTTTCATCAGCAAACTTGCCTTAAAAGAGCATCCCATCATATTTCCTGTCTGTAAGGTGAATGTCAACATATAAAATTAAACTTCTGGCATGACTGGCCTTTGAATAAAGTATAATATTTATGGGCTCTAAATATTTTTTGTATGAACTACTGTACTTTTAAATAAGTTTCCACCAAATCAAGAAAAAAAAAAATAGCACTCTGCACTATAGTTCTTTTTGGAACCTTTTTTAAATAGAAAAATATTTCTAAAATACTTTATAATGTGTGTAACTTGCCTTAGAAAAAATAAAAGCGTAGTTTTAAACCACTCAATTTAATGTGTTTCAGGTAAACTGATGCAAGTCATATTTGGACACTGGGATGTTGTAACCTGTCTTACTCGTTCTGAGTCCTATATTGGAGGAAATTGTTACATTCTCTCAGGATCACGTGATGCAACATTGCTGCTCTGGTACTGGAATGGCAAAACCAATATCATTGGTGATAACCCAAGAAGAGGTAAGCAAAATCAGAAAAACCTGTTTTATAAGGATGTTGTCCAAAAATGGTTTGAGAGAAGAAATTTTAGGTAACATGAATGTCAAAGTACAGTGTTTGGGTTTTTTTTCTATAGTTATGATCAGTTCTAGTTTAAACAATTGAGGGTAAACAGTTCTTGCTTTGCAGCACAAGTAGAACTGATTTTTAAAGTTGTAGGATACTGAACATTACTAATACATTTTTTTCTTGTCACTCATTCAGTTGGGAAGGAGTGGCTCCAGGGGTGAGAGAAGAGAACTCATTTTGTGTCTTTCCTGTTCAATCTGAGTAAATCTTTTTCTCTCTGCATGATGATTTGATTAAATACCTGCATTTAGGTTGTTTAAAACAAAAAACACTATACATTGCTCCAGTGCAGACTGCATTCTATGCAACTGTAATGGTATGCATATAGGTTCTCATAGCGGTGCCTTAGCTATCAATAGAGTTGTGCAGACAGTGAATTTTAACTTAGCCTAAGGTCACTGTGCTAAGATGTGTAATGGCCTGAGCAGGACACTTAGGTGAAAGAAGAACAGACACCTGGGACTGGTTAAAGAAGCAAGCTTCAAACTTTTTTCGTTTAACATTTTGTTAGGGTGCTACGTGCCTAATCCTTGCTCTCACGTGCTAGGCATTTTAATTGGTTCCAGTGCAAGCAACAGGGCTCGTACCATATAACCAAACTACTACGTCAGAGTAACCCTGCTTCAGCCTAATTCAGTTTTAACCCCTCTCCACCCAAACTCACCTTGCACTTCCCAAATGATTTTCTCTCTTCCATCTTGCACTGTTTCCCAGGAAATCCGGAATCTTTTTACTCATGAAGTTTCTCTCTTTTAACTCATGATGTTCTGTGGAAAGCAATGAAACGCTATGACTGCTCAGCCCTGCTGTGCCTTATAATGTGCATTATATAACAGGGAGGGTAGAAAGTGATCTTGTTATGCCGGTTTCACTCCACACAAAAAATTAATTCCTAGTGCCCAAAGCAAAGAAGGCGGCAGACATGCAGCTTGACAAAAAGCCTCAGTGAGCCAGTTCGTAGGAGTAAGAGCCTTTCAAGGCAGCTGGTGAGAGCTTACATACATGAATAGAGGGGCATATCATAGCCAGGCGTTGGTCCTGTTCTCCCTGTTCAGCCAAAAATAAAATACTTTGAAGGGAAGAGGTGAGAAGCAGTATATTCTGTCTTCAAAAGTGTTTTCTACCATACGCTTAATGTCTTCTCTGACCTTGTTTAAATACTAGTAAAAACATACCTACTGTCTGCAGAGGACAAAATGGACATCTGGAAAGCAAGAAGTGCTGTTGTATCTGGCATATATTGCAATTATAACTGGCATATAATTTCATGTAATGTAAGCAATATCTGACATCTTCCAAATTAATCAATTTGGTAGAGTTATGTGTTCCATACTCAAGCTGTTACTCAACTGGAGTTATCTGAATTTGAACAAGAGATGGTTTGACTGAAATTGCATCCTGTGAACTATTTTGAAGAAGCACAACTAATTAATATCAGAATGAGTATCTGAATTTAACTGGCAAATGATTTGATGTTGACTGTGAAAACTATTCAGAAATTGCACAAGATTAAGAAGTTTAGTTCACACAGTTACAGAATCTTCAAGCAGAGGATGAGAGCAAAGTATCTCCATTATCCTTCCAACAGTCAGATTCCAGAGATGGGAGCTTTTCTGGGATGTGGCTAGCAGAATTTTATGAGCATTTTTAAATAAATATGGCTTTGGTTGAGGGACAAAAATCTATGTGAATACTTTATACATATTTTGCAATCTTTCAATTTAAAGAAAATGCAAAACTCTGCGCTGTTTTTGCAGAGCTTGTAAGCTCGTAAACTCCAAAAAGCCTGTGAAAGGAACTTAGGAGCTTGACAGTGAAGGGAGCTTGTAAATCCTAAAGATCAAAACTGCCCTTTTGAGGAGAAAACCCTAAATATTTTAGTGGTATGAAGCAATGAACATTTGTAGGTGTCTCCTTATAGTGTTTTCAAGCGTGCAACCGCAGCCAATCTTTACAGATTGCTAGGCCTGTTCTGAGAAGTTCTTCATGTTGAGTATTTGCCAGGCTTGCCTGCTTTGTGAACAAGACCTTGAGGCTTCAGGCTCCTTTATGACCTTAACAGATCCCATGCTGAGATTTTGTACCCGGTATCGAATAAGAATAGGTAGATTTTCTTATAATCTGTTGACTGTCTTCTCTCATGCAAATTTCTGTCATATTAAAATTTTGCAGTTTTCGAAGTTAATATTACTCTGTTTTAACTACTGTTTAAAATCAAACAGTAGCTACCTGATAAGTCTCTTTGTTTGCAGTCCTATTAAACTTGTACTTTTAGGAGCATACAATGGCTCCTGTGCTTACTCGTTGCCATTATGTAGCTCTTTTTTGTGATATGGCATGCCGGGAAGCCTTTGTTACGAATTGGAATCTCATGGCACTATACATAGGCCTAGACATGTGTATAGTAAAAGACAGTTTCTGCTTCAAAGAGATGGTAATCTGAGGCATTTAATTTTTCCCAGAAATAGCTTTCTATAGGCATCTCTGCTCAGTCAAAATTTTTTTGAAAAGACAAATAAAAAGAGCTGTTTCTGCTTAGTTCTGATTTTGTCAGAAACGGAAGGCACCAGCAGACCTGTTGGGTTTTGAGCCCTGTTACTGCAACTGTAACTTCCATCCATTTGTGGGATGCCAGATATTTAACTTGTCTGATGTCTTGTTGTATTTGAAGCGTAAGATTTTTTTACCTCAAAAATACAGTTTAATCATGCTTTCAATGAGTACTATTCATTGGAATTTTAGATTCTCTCAAAGTTGATACATCTTTCCTATTTTTCATGTCTATTTAATTATCTGTAATTTCCTTCCTGAAATGACTTTACAGCAGCATGCGTCCAATGGCACTGTACCAAATCATGATGCCAGAGTAGTTTCAACAAAAATAATCGAAACCAGGAGCATTTATTTCCTCCTTTCATAGTACCTGTTGCCTCTGATCTACATCAGTCAGAAGACTAGTATGATCAAGCTGCCCTAAATACTATCCCATTGGGCACCCATCAGTTAAGTTTTATTTAAGTTTCTTTACTTGGTTTCATTACTTTAGGAGCTCTTGATCTCTGGGCTGCATATATTCATGTTTTGAAATTGTACTTGACTCAAGCTGACAAGCCAGGTGGGCTATAGCATACTTGATAAATAAGTGTTTTGTTTGGTATTCTTTATCAAGGACAATTTTCTGGCCAACTGGAAAAATTCTTCATATTTTTGGCTTAACAGAAGAAGTACATTACTGAAATATTAATTATTTGCATTCTTTAATTTTTAACTTTTAAGCTGACTTCTTAAAGAAATTATACCTATTCAGTCTCACTGTCTGTTTAGTTTCTCCCTAATAACTCTCGAATGCATTGATCAATGTAAACCAAATTTGATGAATTTAAATCTCAAAGATATAAAATTCCTACACGGGACACATCTACTGGAAACTATTCTTATTCTTCACAAAACAGCTTGAATACATTTAGGGTAAGTCCTTTTTTTCTTCTCAAATTAAAACCTGAAATTCAAAAAATATTTCACGGTGCTCTTTGATCAAATCTGGGGTTTTATTCTTTCTAAATTAATTGTTTTTGAAAATGTAGAAGCATGGCAGTACTTCACTTCAGTGCACAGGCCTTTTCTGATGTAGAAGTGTTTCTGTGGACAATTTCTGACCAAGCCTAGGAATAATTCAGAACAGAGCAGAGGATCTGAAATAGTCATATCCTTTAGAATAGTCCTGAGCCATTTTGAGTTCACATGAATTAGCATAGTTTACCGTGGAGGTGTAAAGTCACTTTGGATAGTATAAGGGGCTTTTATTTTTCTCTCCTTGGCATGTGGCTTGCTTGGGGAGGTGGGGGAGGTAGGAGGGAGAGGCGGTAATCCTCCCCTTGGTACCCCTTGAAGCCCATGTGTGATCTGTATCACAAGGATGGCTTTTGCATGCTTGGAGGCTCCGATCTAATAGCAGGGTGCCGCTTGGGGACACCACGTTATGCTTCAGGACTTGTGTTCCTGAACAGGGTGGTAGAATGTGCAGAGGTTACTGGGAGAGGGCGGTGTACTTGGGGAAAGATGCCACGTTTTGCACTTGCCCAGCCTAATGTGATGGAGGTGGTGGGAAGGCGAGAAGTGAGGGGTGAGAGGAGGAACTAAGTGTGATGGCTGGAGAAAAGAGATGAGAGAAACCATTTGCATATAAATGATGTGCATCACTTTCAGATCCCACTCTCGCTTTGAAGCTCAAGTGGCAACTCTCAGCGTTTGGATGTTTCTGAGGTTGAGGGATCGCATTTTACTTTGTAATCACAGGGTAGGCAGGAGCTTTGGTCACCTGATCTATTCTCTTTTCCCAAGGAAGGCTTAACTACACCAAAACCGTTCTCCACTGGTGTTTGTCCAACTTTCTGCTAAAAACTTCGGCAAATACATTTTTTTGAGCCTCAGAAGCCCTGTCATTAGCAGTTTTTTCCCAGTATTCAGCCTAGTATCCAGTTATTTTTTTTGCAGCAGTTGCATTCTGTCATTTCTTATATATTTATTCTTTGTGTAGAGAACAGATTATTTATTTCCTCCTTGCAACAACTTCCAGTTATTTGGATCACCATGACCTGCAATTTGTTGCTTCCAGATTTAATAACCCAATTCTTTCTGTCTTTTGCCATAAGTCATGTTTTTCTAGACCTCTGATTTTTTTTGTGTTCCTCTCCTCTTCAGTTGTCTATCTTCCTCAAAGTAGACCCAGCAATGCAGTTGAAGCCTTTCCAGTAATAAGTAGAAAACAACCTGGTTTACAGACCAGTACTTTTCACATCATAACACATGGGCTATCTGTTTCTTTCAAAACAGCATGATAATGTTAATTCTTTAAGTGTATGAGCCAATATAAATTTCAGTCTTTTCTGAAG